TGAGATATTAATTAAAAATCTTCAATAAAAAAGAACTAAGTTACTTAGGTACACATATATTAACACATTAACATAAGAACAGGCTGGGCACAGTAGCTAACACCTGTAATTCCAGTACTTTGGGAGGCCAAGGTGGGAGGATCTCTTGAACCCAGGAGTTTGAGACCAGCCTGGGCACCATAGTGAGACCCTGCCACTACAAAAACAATTTTTAAAGTTAGCTGGATGTGCTGGTGCATGCCTGTAGTCCCATCTACTCTGAAGGCTGAGGTAGGAGGATCACTTGAACCCCGGAGTTGGAGGCTGCAGTGAGCTCTGATTGTACCACACTGTATTCTAGGCTGGGTGACAGAGTGAGACCCTGTCTCAAAAAAAAAAAAAGAAAAGAAAAAGAAAAAAAGAAACAAATTTGGCAATAACGAAACCTCTTAATTCAGAGCATTACAATGAAATCTTTTTCTTTTTAACAGAATACTTGCCAGTACACTAAGGATTTCATTTCCTTTCCTTGTTCCTTTTTCCTTTCTTTTTTCTTTCCTTCCCCTCTCCCTCCTTCATTCCCTTTTTGTAATTTTTGTTTATATAATAAACTAGGCAAAGTTATTCCAATTATTTAACTTAAGTAAAGAAGTGTAATAGCTCTCTCTTGCTCCCACTCTGCCATTGAGATGCCTGCTCACCCTTGACCTTCCACCATGATTGTAAGCTTCCTGAAGCCCTCATCAGAAGCCAGGCAGATTCTCATGCATGCTTCCTGTACAGCCTGCAGAATTGTGATCCAATTAAATCTTTTTTCCTTATAAATTAAAAAAAAAAGTATAATAAATACGTCTGTTGCTGTTGGTTCATTCAAAACAGATTTTATCTTCCCTCTGCTATTATCATAAGAGATGTTTTTTGTTTTTAGTAAGATTCCAAGATTCCCTGGTTTTTAGCAGGAAGAGATTAGTTTCCAGGATAAGGCTTTCAAAAAGGTCTTCCTTACTAAGTATTTAGAATTCTTGTGTTTTATGATATCTTTTTGTGCTACATTATCACCTGTTTCCTCAGTGGCAGCTGCTGAATTTGTAAAAGATCAATTGGCTGTTTCTTTGGATTTTGCCATTTAACTGTTATATAGTCACTTATATGGGTTATGTTTATGAAGAGTTGTTTCCTAATTGCAGGCTAATTAGAAGAAAAGAAGAGGTTTGGGGATAATATTCCTCCAGATCTCTTCACCCAAGTTATGGCGGCTCTAGCAAATTTTATAACCTAAAAGCTAACAGAAAACGAATCTTACTCTTGCTGATGAAGTAGTGTTTTATAAAATGTGGTGTTTACTTCTATAATAGGCAGTGTTTTTAAAAAAAATCTAATTATGACTATCGATTCTAACTACTTTAGAGTTGGGAATCATATTAAAAATGTAAGGTTGGGCCAGTGTGCTGGCTCATGCCTGTAATCCCAACTTTGGGAGGCCGAGGCGGGTGGATCACAAGGTCAAGAGATGGAAACCATCCTGGCTAACACGGTAAAACAAACTAAAAATACAAAAATACAAACACTAGCTGGGTGTGGTGGCATGCACCTGTAGTCCCAGCTACTCGGGAGGCTGAGGCAGGAGAATCACTTGCACTGGAGAGGTGGAGGTTGCAGTGAGTTGAGATTGTGCTACTGCACTCCCACCTGGGCAACAGAACGATACTCTGTACCAGAAAAAAAAAGTTTAAGAGCGATTGTAAATATTTGGTAACTATCTTCTACTAAACAATGTCTTTAAAAAGTGACGGGTCTTTTAAAACCCTCTCAGTAATTGTGAAAGGGATGCATGCCATCACATAAACTCAAGATTAGTTAACATGATTATTTTTTAAAGCGATTTAAAAATATTTTTATGGCAGCAAAATAAAACAGGATTACTAGTTGACACTCATTTAGGAATATGTTTTATCTCCCTACCTTACCTGATTTATTTTTCAGTTCTCGACAGAAAGTATTTAACTTAACTAGCTAGCACATCTCTATTTGTTGTTGTTTTTTAAATGGCTATCTACACAGTCTATTATTTTCTTGCATTTTCCCTTTCAGATGCCTCATTAGTAATTATTCTTTTTATTTAAAATTCTTAGATTACATGTGGTTTTCATGTAAAGCTATTATCGTCATCACCATCATGATTGCAACTATTTATTAAGTGGTTGGTTCATTCCATACACTATGCTAAGCATTTGCTTATGTCATCTGATAAAATTTTTACGAAATCCTGAAAGGCAGTCATATTTCTATGTACAATTTTTAGGCAGCAAAACTGAGGTTTGCAGAAGTAATTTTTAAAATATTGCATTTTTTTCCAAGGGCACTCAAGCTTGCATGTGTTTCAGTTAGATAAAATTCCAGATCTTAGCTATTCAAAACCCTTATGCTCATAACCTTGCGTCTTAAATCTCTGATGGCTCACTAACACATTCTTTGGTTATTTGTGAGTTCTCACAAAAAATCTTTCGTTTTGTACTTTTATTTCAAAAGCAATCTAAAAATTAACATGACTGTTTTGGATTAAAAAAACACCATTATATAAACAAATACTTTGACTTGAATGCCCATGTTTTTGTTTGCTTATAATGGAGTTGGAGCCAGACTATATAACTTAAAATTACCCTGGACTACAGTAAAGAATAAGTAAATTAATGATCCATTTATGCCAGGTAAAGGTCAAATATTATAATTGCTTGCTTCTGGAACAAAGGTTTCAAAAAGTTATAACAGAGAAAACTGTTAGAAAAATTGAGTTATTACATAGCAACATAAGTATCTCAAATTCAAATAAACTGTGCTGTATTTCTAATGATGATTTGGGCTTAGCAAAAAACTTTTCATTAATGTAGTTAACTTAAAATATTTTAGTTTTATTTCATTCCTAATTTTTTCTAGTTTATAGATAAAATAGAGCTAAAAATGTAAGTTTACTCCTGGTTTAAATTTTTACCCATTAGGGTAATTTTATAAGAAAAATAGTTTATCACATTGAGTATCCACAAATATTATATGAAAGGTGCTCCTATAGTACTCCAGATTGAGAAACAGTAGTGTATAATCACTTACAACCAAGAGGCCCTCTCCCAAGAATACAATATAATCTGTGAGGCTGGTGCATAATAGGAACTCAATAGTTGAATCAGAATTTTCATCATCTACCTAGGTTCTCCGTATTTATTCATTTGATTAATGTGTAACATTTAAAAAATATATCCTGTGGCCAAACTATGTCAGAGTTACTTTTTTCTTTCTAAGATGAAGTTTCCCTCTTGTTGCCGAGGCTGGAGTGCAATGGTGCGGTTTCAGCTCATGGCAACCTCCACCTCCATTTCCTCATCTGTAAAATGCAAATATCACCTATCTCATAGAAATGTCATAAAGATTGAGTGAAATCATGTAATTATGGTGCTTGCCATTCAGCAGATGCTAAACTAAGTGGTAACTATAATTATTTTCAGGCCAATATTGACTCTTATCTCTAATTGCTGTTGTTACAGGTTTTCTTATGCTGACTGGTTACAGCCACTTTTTAGATTCCAAGGATCTTATATTCTTTTCACTGGTTATCTCATTTATTTGGCTTCTCTTTTTAGGCTACCTATTTTTATAGATGATAGTGACCCAGGAAAGCACTGGAAGAGTAAAAGCATCTTTAATGTTCAGTTGAGAATATGAAGTGGCTTTAATAATGCTGTGATCAATTCCAAAGGTGATGAGTAATAGAAATTCAATATATGGACAAGGCTATTTAAAGAAATATATATTTTTAAAACCCCCCAAAAATATATTGGGAAAATGTGGTTCACAAGTTTAAATGATACCTGCTAAATGCATGTAGCATACAAGAAAATGAAAAAAATTACACTATTATATCGACATCACAGTTTTCTTGAGAACTAAATGAAATAATATGGCTACAATAAGATTATATATGGATCTATTTTCTGTATTTTTCAGTTTTCATCTGTTTCCTAGCACAGAGGTCCTAAAACTCTTCTAGATATGGGCACTAGGACAATCTTTTGTTCTATTCAGTCTTTGACCCTTGGTACCTGACAGAGTTCCTAACCCCTTGGAATTTCCTGGATGATAGGAGAATTTTTTGTTCTCACGAGGTGACTCTTGATGGGCTCTTGGATAGCCTCAGGATGGGGGCTGGTTGCCCGGGAAGCTAATCATGTGATTAGGGAATTAGAATTTTCAGCTGACTCCTCACCTTGAAGGAGAGGAGAAGGCGCTAAAGGTTATTTGCTCACTAGTGACCAATAATGTAAGCACTCATGCCTACATAATGAAGTATCCATAAAAACCCAAAAGGACAGGCATGGTTCAGAAAGCTTCCAGAGAGCTGAACACTTGGAGGTTCCTGGAAGCCGGCCTGCTTGGAGAGGGCATGGAATTGCCACACCTCTTCTCCCTACCTATGGATAGGGCAAGGTATGGGAGGTGGGCAGACTGCTCTTCCATCTAGCTGTTCACCTGTATCCTTTGTAAAATCCTTTATAATAAATAGGTAAATGCAAGTAAAGTGTTTCTTTGACTTCTGTGAGCCACTCTAATGAACTAGCTGAACCTGAGGAAGGGGTCATGGAAATCCCGATTTATAACTTGGTCAGGAATATAGGTGACAACCTGCTACTTGCGGCTGGCACTTGAAGTAGTGGGAGGCAGTCTTTCACAACTGAGCCCTCAATCTGTGGGATCTGATGTCGCCTCCAGGTAGAGGGTGTCAGAACTGAATAGAATTGACACCCAGCTGATGTATGCTAGAGAACTGATTGTTTGTTTGGTGTGGGTGGGGCTAGGGAGGGGCCACTATCCCATCCCATCTTGCTACAGAAGTATTATTGATTGAGTAGTATGTGAGAACAGGGAAAAAGTTTGGTTTTTCCTGTCTCAGAGACAAAACAGTGCCTGGCACATAACTGAGATTCAGGTATATTTGAATAATGAATGGCAAATGAATACTGAGTCAGAACATCTTATTAAGATGAGTAGGCATTTATTCTGTTATTCTCAAACGTGGTAATATTAAAAACATACTTTATGTTCATATCTGAAATACAATTAAATAACTCTAAGGAGCTATCCAAATTTCTTTAATTTTCATTGTCACTTTGGTATTTCAAGCATCAAATATTGCTTGAAATATTTGAGCATAAACATATTCTGGTTTTATGTTTGATACCGCGTCACTACAGTCATCATAAGATTTCACAAAAGGCTGAAGAGAAGTTTTAATAAAGATCCTCAGTCAATATAAAATGCTCCTATAACAGTAGCTGAGATAAAAATAATGAAAAGATAGTTACTTTTGCAAGGTTGACTTAACATGTCATGCATATTGTTAGATGATCTTTGTGAGACTTACAAATTATACAACATTTGTATTTTAACACTTTTTCTTTGTTCTTAACAGTGTATCATGTCAATAAAATTTCCTCCATATCATTTTAAATGGCTGAATACTGTTCACCGTAGGGATGTTGCTTAAATCTCCTAATAAATGATGCAGTAAAGAACACTCTTGCAATTAACTTCTTAAACACATCCTTATTTGCTTGTAATACATTTTTTTTTTTTTGAGATGGAGTCTCACCTGTCACCTAGGCTTGAGTGGAGTGGCACAATCTCAGCTCACTACAACCTCTGCCTCCTGGGTTCAAGTGATTCTCCTGCCTCAGCCTCCCAAATAGCTGGAACTACAGGAACCTGCCAGCAGGCCCAGCTAATTTTTGTATTTTTAGTAGAGACAGGGTCTTGCCATTTTGGCTAGGCTGGTCTTGAACTCTTGCCCTCAGGTGATCCCCCCCCCCCCCCCCGCCTCAGACTTCCAAAGTGCTGGCATTAGAGGTGTGAGCCACCATGCCCTGCCTGGCCTTTTGTTTTGTTTTAGACGGAGTCTTGCTCTGTCACCCAGGCTGGACTGCAGTGGCACCATCTTGGCTCACTGCAACCTCCGCCTTCCAGATTCAAGTGATTCTCTTGCCTCAGCCTCCCAAGTAGCTGGGACTATAGATGTGCACCACTGTACCCAGCTATTTTTTTTTTTTTAATTTAGTAGAGATGGGGGTTTCACCATATTGGCCAGGCTGGTCTCAAACTCCTGGCCTCAGGTGATCCTTCCACCTTGGCCTTCCCCACTGCACCCAGCCTGCTTATGACACATGTCTAAAAGAACTGCTGGGTCAAATGCACAGGCTCACGGCCTTTGATAGATTAGCCAAACTATACTCTAGAAAAGTGCTGCCAACATATACTCTCAGCAATATAAGCAGCCCTGCTTCTCTGAACCCTTGCCAGTATTATCAAGAAATAGTCACTTGTTAAAATAATGCCTAAAGACTAAATTAATGTTTAACATGTTTTGTTACTTGTAAGTTGGGCTTACAATTAAGCTTTAAAATTTTATAATATTACCACTCAAATCTTAAGATTCTTACATGCATTTCAGATGAAGAAACTGAGGTCTAGTAAGTTATAAATCAAAGTCCTTTTAGTGTGATTTTTTTGCCCTGGATATATCGCAGTGCTCTTTAATTTGCCAGTCTACTTCACCAATTAAGCTTTTTTTCTTTTTTTTTTAAAAAAGCCTTACAGATTTCCCAGAAAAAGGTACACATCTTCATTAAGTTGGAGGCTAGGAATATCCTATTAGTTGAGCACCGTTTTTCCTTTTTCCAAGATTGGATTTTACAAATTTTGTGTTAAGGAAATCTTTTGACATTTACTCATTTATTATAAAAAAAGTCTAGCTAATCGTGGATGAGAATTTTGTTCATTCATTTACTAATTTAACAGCACTTATCTAATGCCCATCATGTATGAAGGATAAAGCAGTGAACAAAAAGGTATAGTTTATATTTTTATAGGGTGAAGGGAGACAGAAAATAAAGAATGAATAAAAAAGATAGCTAAGTGCAGTGCTTCACACCTGTAATCCCAGCACTTTGGGAGGCCAAGGCGGGCAGATCACAACGTCAGGAGATTGAGACCATCCTGGCCAACATGGTGAAACCCCGTGTCTACTAAAAACCAAAAAATTAGCTGGGCATGGTGGTATGTGCCTGTAGTCCCAGCTACTCGGGAAGTTGAGGCAGGGGAATCGCTTGAACCTGGGAGGTAGAGGTTGCAGTGAGCTGAGATTGCACCACTGCACTCCAGTCTGGCAACAAAGCAAGACTTCATCTCAAAAAAAAAAAAAAAAAAAAGATAATAAATTATAAATGCTATTAAAAAGATGGAGGGTCACATGACTGATGGAGACTAAATGGGAAAGGGAGCTGTTTTAGATAGGGTGGCCAGGGAAGTGCTGTCAGAAATACTTGGGTTAACCTGAAGGATGAGAATGATACATACAAGACAGAAAAAACCACATCCCAGGAGAAAAGAAGAAAAGAAAGCAAGTGCAAAGGCCCTGAGGCACAGTAGCAGGTAAGATGAAGTTCAGTTGAGAACAAGAGACCCAAAAATAATGGCTTTAATAAGATAGACATTTACAAGTGCAGGGCTGGCATGGTGCTCTGATCTACAAAGTCCTCAGGGATCCTGGTTTCCACCAGTTTAGTTTTGCCATCTCTAGAATGAGAGAACTTGCATGAGACAGAAATAGGCAGCTAGAGCTCCAAGCCATCACATCTGTATTCCAGGGTACAGGATAAAGGAAAAGCATCATTGAAGGTATACACCAACTATCTCTTAAGGATGTTTTTACAAGTGTGTCACATGATATATTGCTTATATCCCATCATCCAGCCCTATTACATGGCTACAAGGAAGGCTGGAAATACAGTCTTTGTTCATAGTATCCATGTCTATTACTATGAATAAATGGAGAAATTTTGGGGGCCAACTACCAGGCTCTGCTACAGACTAGAAAGAGCTCAGTGCACGGCAGAAAGGAGGCCAGTCAGAAGGGTGAGAAAAACTTCCCGTGCTGCTTCCCGGGAAGTTGTAGAAGTGAGCAAGAGCCAGATTATGCGGTCTAAAAGGCCATGATAAGGAATTTAGATTTTATTCTGTGTGCATAAGGAAGCTATTGGAGGGTTTTTTTTTGAGACGGAGTCTCACTCTGTCACCAGGCTGGAGTTCAGTGGCTCGATCTTGGCTCACTGCAACCTCTACCTCCGAGATTCAAGCGATTCTCCTACCTCAGCCTCCTGAGTAGTTGGGACTACAGGTGCTCACCACTATGCCCAGCTAATTTTTTTTTTTGTATTTTTAGTAGAAACAGTGTTTCACCACGTTGGCCAGGATGATCTCGATCTCCTGACCTCTGATCCGCCCACCTCCAGCTCCCAAAGTGCTGGGATTACAGGTGCGAGCTACCACGCCTGGCCACTATTGGAGGGTTTTAAACAAGGGAGTGAGTGACATAACCTAATAACATTTTTTTAAAGGATTACTTTGGTTGGTATTCAAGAGAATGGTTTGAATGGGAAAATTTTCACGAGAGTACAGAGAGAAAGTGAAGGCAGTTACTATGGATCTTGCTGTGGTCCAGCAAGAGACAATGGTGGCTCTCAAAGGTTGCAGTAGTGGAGGTGATAAGTAGCTTAATTCAGAATATAATTGTGAGGAAGAATGGATGCTACTGTTTGATGAGCTGTAGGAGTGTGAAGAATCACAGAAAATTCCAAGTTTTATGTCTAAGCAAGTAAGTGAATGGTGGTACTATTTATGAAAATCAGGAATACTAAAGGAGCAACAGATTTAGAGAGTGAACAAAGGGGATTCAAATGTTTTAGAGACATTAGAGAAGCCTGTCCTTTTTATCCCTTGCCACGACAAAATTTTCAGTACTATCCATACTTTTCTAAACATGGGTGGCCTCCTTCTTCTACAAGTTATACACAAATTCATTCTTCCCTTAATAGGTAATTTTTTCCGTCAAAGTCTGTAATTTTTACATAAAGTGTATAGAGAATTTAACATAATGCATATTTTGAAAAGATACATGACATGTACCTATTAGTGTGGACTACTTTTCAGGTAAAAGTAAGAAAATCTATCAAAATGTAGTTAAAAGAAAACTAAACTACCAAATGGGCAAACTTGATTAATATTACCAACAAAGATGAAGTTTTTGATGCAACAGGACAATTTAAAAAATATACCATTTATTGAGTTCTTACTAGAAAGTCATAAATATAAGCCTTTAACAAATGCTAGCTCATTAAATACCTAGAATACCCTCTAAGGGAGGCATTAAATTTTAACAAATTTTTAATAGATTTGGCACAAATAATAGGACAATTAAAAGTTCTTCAACATGGCTTAAAGTGAATTCATCCTAAACATATAGTGCTCAGTATGAAATAATGAAGTAATAGTTATCAGTGTATTTTCTCCTAACCCACACATTAATTATGAATGTTGTTCTATCTCTTCCAGTAAAATACTCAAGGTAATAAAACTCTCAAATCAGACTTACACCCCCTGGAAGTCATTCCATAGAAGCATATCCAATCTTTTAACACACCATCTTATGTTTGTAGATGTTAACATGTGAGGAAGAGAAAGCAGGAGAAGGAAGGAACTATTTGGGGAAGACGGGGAGAAAGGAAGGAAAGGACACAAATGTGGTGTTCCTCCTCGAATTTTCCTGAAGTGAAGAAAACAGTGAAGGTTTGATGAAATGAATAACCAAGCAAACATTTTTTATCTACACCAGCACCATTAGGAGTTGAAATAAATCCACACAATGTCTGCTGATATGTCAAAACACCTTACCTTCAAAAACATGACGGTTTTACAGTATGCTTGTGTTTCTTGCTATTTCTTGCTTTTGACCTTCAATGATAAATTTAAATTGGATTACAGTGATTCTTTTGTGAGGAAAAGGTGACTTTTTAAAAGAAACGAGAAGTAGAAATTTTATTTCAAATTAACGACTTTAATTACTCAAATAGAAAGGAATAATTATCACATTATGAAACTACACAATTCCAAAACACACACGCAGAGGCTCTTTTTAAGTCCAAAATTTCTAGTAATTACAAAAAAAGGTGAAGAGCTTACAGATATACAAAGGAATAAACGGGAATTATTGCAACGAAAACAAGTTTAATTTTACTTTGAACGACAACGATTTTTCACTCCTTTAAGTTTCCACCCAAGTCACAATAATTTCAAACGGTCTTGTGGATGCCGAAGACGGTCACTTAGGTATATGTGGGGACTGGGGGGAATGAGAGCCAGAGAAAGCGCTATAAACCTAATTTGGCTAGAGCAAGTTCACAGAACAGTGCTTTAAAAACCTGCTCTCCATTATGTACTTCCTCCTATCAGGTTCAAAAAAAAAAAAAAAGGTGGGATGAGTAAATACACCAGTGGTTTCATCAGAGGGGAACTCACTACTCAGGAGGTGACGGTGACGTGCTGACGGTCCCTGAAGTACGCGCACACTGGAGAGGAGGTTGCAGGAGCCGAGCTGGGAAACAGGGACGCGGTCACATTCGCTCCAGGTGGCGGGAGTGAAGAGGGGAGGAGTGAGACGACGGACGTGCGGGGGCGGGGTGTCCAACACAAACACAAACACGAACACGCTCAGCGTCCCCTGGGAGGGCGGACCAACGCCACCTCACCATTCATCGCCCCTGGACCCCGCGGTTCCCCTCGGACCCAGGGCTAAAGCCCTGTGCGAAGCAACCCGGCCCCAGGCAAACGGAAGCGGCCGCAAAAGCCCCGCTCTAGGTAACGGCTGAGGTGGAGAAGCGAACCTCCCTGTGAATCGCTGGGAGACAAGACGGAGCAGTAGTGAGGGCGGTAGAGCAGTGAAGCGCCTCGCCTCACCTTGTTACAAGCGTGCTGGAAGCGGCCTACCCATCCCAGCGCTGTCAGCTTTGCATCGCCGCTCCCACCTTCCGCCGCCGCCTGGAGGGAAGCCGGAGCGACGGGGGTCACGGCGGCGGTCAGAGGGTAAAGGTCTTGCTCCCAGCAGCCTCCGCGGTGGATACGTCGCCATCTTGGATCCGCGGGACAAGAAAATTCATGCGGTGAGTTTTTGGTAAATTTTCGGAAGTCTGGCAGCGGGGCGCGCGGCGGGGGCGGCGGATTCGGGGCCCCCGCGAGGCTGGGGAATGTCCCGGGGCCTGTCCGGTCGCGCCCAGGGTCCGCCGGTAGCGTCCCGGCCCGCCGCTTCCCGTTGCTTTTGTCTCGGCTCCAATCGAGAGAGGGAGAGCGGAGCGGCCGGGGAGGGGGGGGTGGCGGCGGTGGAGGGAGGGAGGGGGTGTGTATGGGGGTGGTGGTGGACGGGACGTAAAGCGTCGCTGTACTCGGGCCGCTGCAGCTGTAGCTTCAGATCTTAGGCCCGGTCCCATCCGTGAGTGGCGGGGCTTTCCCAGACTCCACTCCCCCAGGCTCCCGCCAGCGCGAGGAGAATCTGCCGCCGCGCTGCTTCCTGGGGAAGAAGAGAAGGCGGCAGCGGCCGTGGCCGAGGAGCTCGAGCCCCCTTTAGACGGCTCTGCCGCCTTCCCAGCAGCTGGTGCTGTCTCTGGTTCTTTACATTCTCTCAATACACGTATATCATCTGCCAATTATGTGTATTTCTGTTAGTGTATATGTAAGTGTTAGATGGGGGACACTGGACTGGTTAACGGGTGTCTGGAGCCTGCAGGCCCTGGGATACCGAAGGCTGTGCATGGTGGAGGGAGAAGGAATGCAACTGCGATGCTGCCTTTGCCACCGCACCGGGAAGGTGAAGCTTCCGTAGTGTTTTAGACTGGGTCCGGATGGTCCTGGGACGGCGGAGGAACCACAGACACTTCTGTCTGTGAGGTTGCAAGCCCTAGGTTTCTACTTCCGCAGGGGCCTCCACCTTTTGCTGTCTTAGGTCTCGCTTAAAAGTTTAACAGAAGAAAAGAGTCGGGTTAAAAGAGGCCTTTGTAGTTGTTAATTGAGGCACTGTTGTCTGTCCGGGAGAAAGCTGATAACTCTTGGTAACTGTGGGCCTTAGCAAAAACGAATTGTAGTTTTCTTTTATACAAAGTATTTCCAAGGTCTAAAGACTTTGTATATATTCAGGCCTGTAGGTAAGGTATCGCCACCACAAAAGTCTTACATAAGGGTACCACCCTCTCAGAAGGAACCTAAGCATCAGCTTCCTTCGACTCCTTGGAGACATCTTCACTTTTCAACATCCGGAAGACTGACTGCAACATATTTTGTTTCGTTTTCATAAAACTCTTGGTCAGAAAATCCCACTCCTTTTAAAATCATTTGAGCAGTTCCTCATGATTAAGTACACTGATTTGAACCCTTAGATTCTTGGCAGAATGGTAAAAAGTACTCAGTTAACGACGGAGGCCATACTTGAATTTAAGGTTCAAAATTGAACACAGTTTGTGTCATGCTTATTAATAGGAATTTTTAGAGCTCAGAATGTAAGTGTAATTCTTGATTTGCCTTTTGAAGCAATCTAAGTGGAGAGGATAAAGTATGGGGTGGGGACGAGATAGAAATTTTAAAGTATCCATTTATATACAAGCTTTATGTTGAGTTTGGGAATACTTGGTATAATTGACAGCAGTTCTTTCCAAACGTCAATAAATACATCTCTTACAATTTTGTAAGGTAACTATCGCAGATTGAAAGGGTTAACTAAGAATCATAGTGGACTGAAATGGTTAAGTGTCTATATCCTACTTCATTGAAATGTTTTATAATGGACCAAGATAACTAGTAAGCTCTGTATGTTGAATTTGTTTGGATTGTAGTTCTTTTGTAATATTAAATCTAAAGAAAAATAGAAAATACACTTAAAGACAAAAAACACTTTCCACTGTACTCACTCATTTCTTGACTTTGTAAGGTCCTTATTTAATTGCAAAAAAAAAAAAAAAGTACTTTTCTCTCATATTTTGAGAGCTTGAATTTTAATTATTTTTTAGAATACTTTGTGTTTTAGAGAGGAAGTGAGAAACTACTAAACTTCTTTGCATCTTGATGAGTACTTCATCAATACAAATAAGTTAATGTAAACATTTGTGGGCAGGAATCCTTTTCTAAGTATACAGTGTAGAGATATCTGTAACCTAATCTGATTTAAAGGAATGAGAATTGCCTGTTTGTTTAGCCAAGCAACAAGTACAGCCTATACAATTTTTCAGTTTCTAAAATACTTTAATTTAGATGGTAGAAAAAATGAGGGCAAAAAGCATGTGTATGAGTGATTTATAACGCTTTTGTTGGAGAAGTACCCGATCTTGAAGATAAAACTCAGAATGTGGCTGGCTTATCTTATGATGCTGGACTAAAAAACAAAATCAAAACAACTCAGAATGATACAACTTCCTGTATACCTCCCTACAAGAACTAATTACCTTTGTTTTGCTTTATAACTTTGGATGTTTAACTTTCTGATTTTTCAGAGATGCTTTATGGTTATTATAACCTGAAAATTCATTGTTCAAAAGTAAATAAAAATTACAGGTGTATGAATAGATATTATTAGAAGTGCTTCTAACCCAGTTCTCATTTGTATTCCTTTATTAGACATTGGTATTAAAAGTACCTATATTTTGAAAGACCATTACAGAATTGTTTACAACCAGTATAAGTTGTAGTTTTATCTTTTCTAGTGACAGACTTAATTCATAAGATTTTCTGAAAATATAAAGAAAATGTATGCCTCACATGTATGTATGAAATATGAGTAAGTATTAATAGACTAGTGAAAATAATTTAGTTTACGATTTATTTTCTTGCTCTTTAAAAGCAGTATTAAATAGTAGTTTTTCAGTTAAAATTTGTAACTGTAGAAAGTTCATTCTGTTAGGATCACATATTTGAAAGCAAACTAACAATACCATGTGCTTGCTTGAACAGGCGTTTGAGGACAGTTTATGCAAATAGTGATATCTTTTCCTGAAATCTCAGGAAAAGATACTTCCAAACATTTATGTTATTTGTTACCTGGATCTGTAGTAGATTTTGTAACACAAAGAGGCAAAAGATCTAAGGTACCAGGTAGGGGAGTTCATGGGCAGAGTTAATATGACTTGTACTGTGATGTTTGAGTGGAATTACATAGTGTTATTTAAGGGATCTAGTGCTATGGTAGAACTTATTCTGCTTGATGATACAGGTTACTGTTTTTCCTAAGAGTAGTTTCTACATATGATACTTAAAGGGATTGAATTTCACTGTGACTTACACTAGATATTTTGAAAAGAGCTATACTAAAATTTATATTTATATTTATGTCATTGTAGAGAGTTTGCCTTGACGTGGAATGAAAATTAGGGTTTTATTTCTCTAGTTTTTCTGTTTGACATCCTTTGATTTCTATTTTAGAATTCAACTCTTGTGACAAATCATGCTGTTGTGGTTTGTTCATTTATTTACTTTCCCTATACTGTTAGGAATGCCCTGGAAATAGAATTCATACTGTGTTTTCTGACAGCTTGTTCTCTGAAATACACATGCAGATCTGTTGGTATCTATTGGTTTATCACTTGGGGGTGTGCTGCATTACAAAGTAATTAAACAGTTTACAGTATTAACTTTTTGTCAAGAGCTCATGACATATAATATGGGAATACAAAAAGTGAATTATTTAGAAAAAAGGGGAATTTTTTCCTTTTCTCTAGGCACTTTAGGGTTTTATATATGCTTAGACTCAGGATCTAAGTCCACTTAGATGTAGTTAGCTATTTTGGACCTATTTGCCACTTAACACTGAAAATTATTCCTTTTCTTATTTTTATTTATGTGTATGTTATTGGATGTTTGTGTGGGGGTTGTGTGTGCTTATTTTAGTTATCTGTCACTTCTCTGTTGTTTGGTGAACTTCTTCCATCCTCCTCTTTGGTATTACTTTCTTCATAAATCTTTCCTGACTCCCCAAATCCTTCTGCTGTATTGCTTTTTATTCTTCAAACTGCTATCATAGAATGTCATACTGTATTGTAATTCAGTGTCCATCTGGACTGTGAGCACCTGAGAGGCAGGGCTTTGCCTTGTTTATGTTTACATTTCTAATGCTTTCTATAGTGCATAATACCTAGTAGATCCTCGATATGTATCTATTAAACTGAACTCTTGCCAGATTGTCATTTGAAAATGCTGTTAGAGTGCTGTTTCACATTGCACAGATCTGAAGCAACAGGTTGGAAAAGTGGTGGGGAGAAGGGCATTCTGTATTCCTTCACTTCCTTAAATCCTTTCGTACAGTTTTGTTTTTTAATTACAAATGGAAAAATAGATAACTAGCTTCTTAGAGAACTGTGTGTAGAGTTAGTATGGAATTAAGGGAAGGATGTTAATAATAGAGTGGTTAATATCCGGTTTTGCTTCTGGCAGGATGTTTAGGTCTGTATTTCTCGGTGTAATTTGTATGGTTATGGCCATTATTTGAAGGAAGTATTTTGTATTTGTCTTTACAAGGTAACATGTTTACCAGTACTTACCCGTGAGTTCATATTAGATTTGGGTTTTCTGAAGTTAGATTTTGTTTTCCTCACCGTTTTCCACTTAATGCTTGGCCCATCAGTAGAAAGCAGGATTTCTGTAGTTTGAATACTATTGTTGTCCTTATGGAAAATCTTATTTGAGGTCCAAAATTTAAAAAGCTCTGAAAGTTGATCATTTGTGTTTTTCTTTTCTTTTTTGAATAAGTAAGGTGAGAAAATATCAACTGGAATTATACCTGTGAATCTGATTTTCTTAATCTAATTTTCCCACTTTTCCATATGGAAATATTCGCATGTTTAATTGCAGGTGTTGCCATTGGCAGGTGTTACATCACTTATGATACATAAACTATTTTATTTTTCTGAAATCTGAAACTGTAATTTTGAGAAACATCTGGCTTTTAAAGGTTTAGGAGATTGTGAGCCAATTTTGTGCCCATTTTAGAGATGTAGAAATCAAAATAGGATAGATGACTCCCAGAATTATATTTTAGTAGATATGCTAATGTTGATAATGATTTTAGAAATATTATGTCTTAATTGCCTTTATATGTTCCAGAGACTTTTTAAAGACTAATAGCTACTAAAGATAGAGAGTGTATATTTTTTAAGAGGGAATTTGATCCAATATTGAGGACACCAATCCTTTCTCTGCCTTTTCTGAATGGAAAATGCCTTTCCTTATATGTGAGTAGGTGAAAATGCACACTTAGTGAGTTTTTACTATGCCAGGGAATGATAAAATGAAAGAGAAAATTATATGTCCTGGCAATTTAGGTAACTTTAGAGTTGCTTGTTTTTCAAACATACTGATATACTACCTTTCCATTTGTATATTCATATGTTGAAACAAGTCTAGTTTGTGTTAGCATCTGGACAAAATGTAATGACTGATTATGTAACAGTGTGTTTGGGAGAGGAACATTTGGTTTTGTGTCATATCTGGCAAGAATGTGCTTTTGTGTTACTTTCTATATTGTAAATTATGCTTATCCTGCATACAAATTTTATATTTAGTTTTCTGCTTGTAAGAATCATTCATAGGTTAGTAAAATAATAATGTTAAGTTTACTGTGTCATTCCAAGCACCTGACTACTTTTGGCTTTGCTACTTAATATTTTTAAAATGTTTTACAGCTTGCAGAGAGGACTCTTATATATGTTATATTAATTATATATACTATTTAAGTTTAACATTTAATATGTTTATAAACAGATCAAACTATGTTGGTCAATATGAAAATTAGAAGTCGGGAATTATGAAGCCCATTCTCATCTTCAGACTGGACTCACTAGTTTCTTTTCCATTTATTTTAGTGCTACTTTACAGAGAAAATCCTGATTTATTAAATCAAATAGGTATTAATGGAAGATTTGTTGTCATTTGCATCTGATCATCTTGCAGATCCTGGATATTTAATCAAATTGATGTAGGAGTTTGAAAGAGAAGCAACAGTAGGAAATTTTTGTTTCAAGCTTGACTTTCTGGTAGTATCCAACAGCTGCTCATATTTTTAAAAATTATGAACATTCATTGAGAAACATTAAAAACTTAGAAGTGAGAATACTGTATTATAATGAGAATAGGTAATAAATCATTGATGCCACATTTTACATATTATTGCACCATTATTCTGAGGTGAGCATATGCTGAACAGATTGCTGCACAAAGTAATGCTTTAGGGGTGTAGTTTTTATGGAACTGAGCATTTCTGGCCTGAAATTAGAAAAAAAAATTGGAGCCATATCCGTTGTAATCTGTGTTTGCTTATGAGAAATTCTAGGTATATTTATGTTACGCTCAACTTTATTTGAGGTCTGCAGCAAAACCTGACAGCTGAGATTGTCTTTAAAGTGTTTAAGTTTGGTATACAGTGCACTTATATGTGTGTATCACTCATCTTAAAATGGATGTGTGTGTAAAAAGATTGTAATCCAGTGCTTAAATGAATTTGTGAAGCACAAATTAATGAAGCACTAAGGTGTTTCAGAGCATAGTTTGAAAACCCCTATGCTTGATCACCAAAGTCACTTGCAACAGTAAAATTCTGTGTATTTTAAAAGTTAAGGCTTTTTCTATTCCCTGCACATAATTCACAGAATTTAGCTGTTTTTCAGTAGTATTTGGATAGAAATTGTTTATTAAATTAAATTTAAAGTTTAGGCTGTGCTGGTTATATGTTAGTTAGCACTTTAGATGTTTTCAAGTGAATCTCTTAGTAATTTCACTATTTAGTTTCTGCTTGACATTGTTGTAGGTGTTGGATATATGATGGTGATCAAGACAAGTCTCCATCTTCATTAACCTAACATTCTGGAGGAGGAGACAGACAGTAAACAAATAAATAAACATAAGTTGAGGTAGTAGTAACTGATATGAAAAAATAAAGGGGGATAAAGGTACAGCAATTGATTAGAAATGAAAAAAAAAATGATTAAGTAGGATGATGGGAGAAGACTTCCGTGGAGGTATCATTTGAGCAAAAACTGAAAAAGGAGAAAGCTGCGCAAAAATGTGGATGCCTTTTCCAGGCAGAAGGAATAGAAGGCCCTGAGATAGGGTCAAGTTTAGCATGTTTGAAGATAAGAAATTTCATAAACAATGCTTTCTGCATAAATCGGGGTAAGCTCTAAAGGGGAGAAAAGATGATTAAAGCATAATAATCTGTGTCTTTCAACTTCTGAAGATATTGTGGCAGACCCAGTAATCTGTAATAAGTTTTATAAAGAGCAATAGGGAAGAGGGATTATTTTTTTATTAAGGTGTCTTGAAATTGTTTTCTACATCAGATGAATTGCGGGGGTTGGGGGATGGTCTGTCTGAAGTACTGGAAAATTACATAGGTAAGCAAACGGAAAACTTTCCTTAATTCCTATGTTTATGTAGAATAATAAAGCCTATACTTTTCTTAGAAATTAATTAGTAATGATTTTCATATTTAATTAGATTTCCTTGTATGGTCCAATAAATGTTACTTTTTGCTGTGCACTATTATAGTTGTACTGCATAATTCCTCAAGTTAAATTTTTGTCATACCGTAGAAACATTCTAGAGTGTAGTAACCTTGTTTCAGGAAGTTAATGAGTTGGCTTCAAAGAGGTGATACGTGAACTGGGTTCGGAAGGGTAATTTGGAGTTAACTAGGTGGGGTAAGGTAGGGAATCAGCATTGTAAACGTACAAATTCTGGGAAAATATGTTGGATTTGGAGAATGGTACTGGTAATCCTCCATAGCTTTTGATGAAATTCTGGGACCTCATAGAAGAAGTCAGTTGAGGGAATGAAGTAGCCACTGTATGAGAGGTCTTATCTTTTACATGATGAGGGAACCATTAACCTTTGGGGGAAAAAAAAATAACAGAAGCCAGTGAGATTGAAAAACAGATTTGTGCTTCAGGGAAAAGTTTAGATTCCACAGTCGATTTATAATTAAAATTATAAGCTTAATGGTGTAGTATATTTGTGACATTTTTGAAAGTTTCCATTAAGCAAAGTGAGTACTTTCTATTCGTATAAGCAGGATTTTTATTTGTTAAGAACTGTATGACTTTGAAACTCTATAGTTTGTTTCTTTTAGAGAACTTGTTTGTCATACCTATAAAGGAAAGCCTACTGTTCAAGGTTTTTCCATTACTGGGATGTGATTTGTTTCATAAGTTTTGGGACAGAGTTTGAGTATTACCATCTGATTTAATGTGTAGGTATGAGATTTAACATTACTTGGGTAAACTGGAAAAATACCAAGAAAATCTAAATCAGTGATAAAATCACTATGTAGGAGCTAATATTTATGTTATAGTACTAGAAATGCTTATTTTACAATGCTATGATACGTGTTTGTGTGTTACTGAAATACTATACACAGCACTTGCTTATGTTAGTTTGCTAGCATTATTTGTTAATTCTGACATGCAAAAACAAATCCTAAATGAATGTTTTTAAATAAAAAGAATTGCTTCTCTGAGAATTTAGTTTCAGCAAATTGTTACTTTATTTTTATTTTGGTTTTTGTTTTGAGACAGGTCTTGCTTTGTCACCCAGACTGGAATGCAG